CCCTACATCGTAGAGCCCGACACCTGGTTTGGCAGAGTTGACCCCTCAGGTCTCTGGAGGTGGGTGCTGAGTAATGCCTGACCTCCCTCTCACTCCTGTCTCGCTTCATGTCTCTCCTGTCACTGCCTGAACCGGTTGTGTCTTTGTCGTTCCTGGAGTCAGAGTCCTGTGTTGGAGCTGCAGTAAATCACCTTGGTACTGTATTCTCTGTCATCAATCTGGCCTCCATCGGTCTCTAAGGCTATGTTCGGGATGTGTTTACTGGGAAGCTACTGAGCCCAGTTTTATTACCTGATCTACATGGTGAAATATTGCCTCTGTGTGTATAAACAACACAGAGACTACCAGCAGTAGTAGTTCAGTATAATTGTCTCATTGAATTTGATGTCAGTGCCATTTCTTGGATGTTTCTTGGACACAAGCTGATAAAACGCTTTCTGAGAGCTAGCTGCATAGAATGCATAGAATACATGTACACCTACCGACTGAAGACATATATCACAAGGGACAAAGCAGTGAAGAAGGCAGACAGGCCACAGCCTATGTAACTGATGTATGACAGTATTTCCCAGTGGACCTCTGAAATTGATTCTCTTATCTGCAGAAAAGATGAAATAATGCATCTATCTGCAGGTAATGTTTACCAACATCTAGAAAAAAAGTAATTTCTCATATAGAGTTATACCACTTTTGTACCAGTACTGAATAATCATTTGTTGTACTTTTTTTTCCTGTTTTAAAGGTGCCAAATGAATAAATACTCGACTAACTGGTTGATTTATCATCAGGAACAAGTCATTGTCTCCTTATCAATGTGTCTCCTTACCATTAGGACAGCAAATGGTGTTGCATGGTCACAGTTGCAAATAATGTCAGTTTGGTTACTACTGGTTCCGTTGTACGTCTTACATCCATCTGTTTTCCAGACATAATCTGAGGAATGTGAACATTGTAACTTAGTTTACTTAAATAGGCATAATTCAGCTGGTCATCTAAATAGCAAGACCAACTTGCCATAAAAGGCATATAAAAAATTACATTATATACATTTGATATACCCATATAAATATATAAAAACTGATATATGCCTACCATGTTCATCAAAGTAGTGACACTGTAACCTTGAGTCATTCTGTGAAAATACAAAAATATACATTATGCATACATATACATTGAAGTTAACAGTGGTACATGCTGCCCATTTAAAAACGCTTACCCAATAGGTTAAAAGTAGGTTCAGCTAAATACAAAAAACCCTAGTGGTTAAACAGTACTGTGTGATTACATCACAAAAAGGAAATAATAAAAGGACACATTCTAATTCTGGGAGATTGATGGACTGCTTAGCAGAAATTGCAGTGACCACCACTGAGGTACAACCAAGTTTAATAAACTAAATACTAAAATACAAAAGCAACAACTATGAAAACAATATCTAAATGTCAAAAATGCCACTTCAACAATGCCTGTCATGTGTCATATATAAGCCATCACCAAAATAGAGTCACATCTTATTTATGTAGCCCACAATTAGCAAAAATGTACAGCATACCATATGGCACTATCTATCCTAATAGATTTAAAATAGACTTACGTCCATATCTGCGATTGTAAAAGTTCTGAAAATCATCGTGATGGGCGTTTGCAGATTATGAAGTTTATCCCCTAGTAGCTCTATCCTGATGACCATTGATGAGAATTGTTCTTGTTCAAACTAATGAGGAAAAAGTTTCAGTACAAAAATGATAAACAGAGGAATAACACAGTGTATATACAGTATATATGTAATGGCCAAAGAATCTGCGAACATTTATGACCATGGCTTAATGGACCAGTGTGTAGGATTTAGTGGCATCTAGTGGTGAAGTTGCAGATTGCAAATAACTAAACACTGCTTGTATCTGTAATTGACAACCTGGAAATACAAAGTGAAGGGTGTAGGAGAAACTACGGTGGCCACAATTACTCACATGAAAAGCCCTATCTACAACCAGTGTTTGGTTTGTCCGTTCTGGGCTACTGAACATGGCAGTTCAACATAGCAAAATGCATGGAAGGAGACCAGTGGCATCTGGAAATAAAACGTCTTGTTCTAAGGGTCAAAAACACTATACACTAATGAAAACAGAACTATTATATTCTATCTATGCCAAAAGATCCCCCTAAATGTTACACACTGGGCCTTTAAATTTAAATTACAGATTGAAACATGAGGGTGTCAATGTAAAAGTAAATAGGATAAATATATACTTGAAATTGGCTGTGAAGCATGTAGGTGACCAAACCAATAATCCTCTTGTCCTTTGGGATGGTGTACAGGTCATACACTGGCAGTGAAATGTTGGGGACAAATGACTGGTTCTGAGGCAGCAGCTAGGCATAAAAGAAGATGATGTCAGACTAGGGCAGAAAATTGACTGAGCACTGCCTAAAGTCATGTCAGCCTAACGTAAGAAATACATTAACATATTCAGAATCAGGCTATATTAATCACCACTGTCCCTTCTAAATTCATCAGCACCATCTTCACCACAGCTTGTTTACCTGTGGAGCATTTATCTGAATGGTGGAGTGATCTTCTGTGGAGTTTAGTTCAGCCTCACTGATGTTTACCACATTCAGAGACAAGGCTTTCAGGTAGTATTGTATGGAGTCTCCAGTTTCTAGTTGGGCTGTTCGCATGATGTTAAGGATTATCTGCTTTTCCACTCTAAAGAAAGACAATGGGAATTAATGAATACGGTTTAAATAAATAAAAAACAGATAAACTACAATTAAATAAAGTCTTTGTCCTCTGTATATATCCCTATGATTGTTGTCCCCTTAACTGCTTCTCATGTTACCTACAGTACATATTTTAGTATTACGTTATTTCTATCAGTCACATTCTTTGTTGCCCTGACGTCACAATTTACAAAAGTTAAATAAGTTTGGTGAGCAAACAGGACATCACTTCTTCTCCTCGTATCTACCTGTAAGGGAGCTAAGACACCAGCAGGACACGAGTGGGAGGCGAGGAGCCACATTAGCCAAAAAGAAAGCAACTAGCATAGTACTGCTATGATGGCATTATCGATTAGCAGCTAGTATTCATATTTTCTAATTGTTTAGAAAATACTCTAAACGACAAAGTGGTCTTCTAATGTCACTACTGACTCTGCTAAATATGTCATTATAATTTTTTCATCCTCTGAGTATCTCAAGGGGGACAACAATCATGGGGATATATACAGAGGACAAACAGTCTGGACCAAAATGGTTGACCAACTGACCATGCCGTTTGCATGGCTAAAAATGGTAGTACAGCCAACAGACACTTACTTTATATAGCCTCTTGTGACATTGTTGCTGCCACTGAAGAGCTTTTCACATGAATTCCTGATGTAGAAGAGTTGCATCATTTCCTTCTGATGAGAGGTGTCTTTATTCAGTAGCTCAACCAGTTGTGAGATGGTCTCGTCCTGACATAAGTAGACAACGCAAGTTTCATCTGAGTGGTGAGAGAGGAATTTGATTTAAAATGCAGACATATAATCACAATTTCTGGAAACAGGATCAGCTGTGGATGGATTAAGAATCAGTTTATTATCATCAGTGATAATAATGTGTTTTTACTCTGTAGAGGACTGTAGTGCTCAGTTCTAGAGAGTCTGCAGTCTTCTTGAGAGACAGTGTACTTACGTTCTTTTTCGATGTCCACAGCCTCAGTGGGAAATTTTATCACTTTGACCTCTAAGCAAGATGATGATCCATTGAACCAACTGCTGAACGTGCACTGAAAGAGGCAGGGTAAACCGCTCGTTGAACAGGTTATGTTACCAGATAGGTCGTCAGAGATGCTTATATTATCCAGAAAGGTGTCAATGCCGCCGTTTGAAAAGCTGACACAAACTGAGCACAGAAACAGAATACAAGAATCAAATACAACTCTCTGTATCTAAATGTAAAACATTATTTGAGAGAACACCTAAGGTCACAGCAACATTAATATAAACACAGATGGGTGATTTAAAAAGGATGTCAGCAAGACTGTTTTCTTATAATTCAATATACTTGCATTATGCAACAAGTTACTAATGTTTATTTTTTTCTCAGCTCTCAACCAGTTCTGTTGTACCATTTAAGTGCAGTTAGATTGGAGTAATTCTTTAAATTTCAAGTTCACAAGAAGTAAAAATGCCTTGCAAAAAAGTTAAAAAAAATGCATTACTCTTTCTTTGGTGAAGAAAACCTAAAATAATCATCCATACCTTGGTCAGCCAGTGACTCGAGGAGTAGCAGTGATAGGAGTAAGGGAACCATTGCACTTCCTCTGAATTTGTGACTGATAGAATAAATAAAAAATAGAAATAAATAAAGCTACATTTTAGTGCAGATACATTCAGTGTATCTCAACTGTAAGTCAATTTACATCCAAAAGAAATTCACTTAAAAGCTATATAATAACAAAGAGATGCTCATTATGTTCCTGAACATTGCCAAGTGTTTTGTGAGTAATTGAAATCAAATACTGACAAATATTAACTTACTCTTCAGTCTGCAATGATGGAAAACAGGCACAAGCAGCAGGTCACCCCTTATCAAAGTATTGCACTTGATTTTCTTGTCTTTTGAAAAATTAAAGAAAAATGTATTTTAACTTAGTACAGCAATAAGTCACTTAAACTTTTCTTGTATGGTCTTTCTTTCTCTCTTCTTATTTAATTGCCCTTCCATGGACACAGCGGTCCGGTCCACTCCCAAATAACAAAGGACAAATATGGAGTAAATTCTCCTAATGGTAACACTACAGAAACAATCAGACATACTTCCTATGGCTTTTTAAGTTTTTGGGTTAGATCAAATTCTTAAAAGTTAGTATACCGCAATAAAGGGAAAATAGTAAAAATAATACTTACATTGATTCTCACTGAACAGAATAGTTTCTCTTCTTGCCTCTGAAGTGAACAGGATGAACTGCACTGGTAAACTGTGCTGGTTGGATTATCTCATGATTAAGAGCTTTAGGTAAAATACAATTGGGCTTGTGTCTGATCTGCTGGAAGTATCTGGTTTATGCAAATATTATTTTTTTTATCAGTACAACAAAATGACCATGTGTGTTGGTTTCATGGTTATATGCGAAGAACTGATGTCACAGTCTACATTTCACTGCTGCAGTAAACCAGGTCTGTCAACAGAGATGTGATATCATGTACAATAACCCCATGGTTTGGAAAGCCATTAAATGCGGTAAAGTGTCCTGCTGTGTCTCACTACTCCCAAATGTTTGCCTTTCACTTTGCATGCTCTTCTCATGTTAGTGCTGTTGTGCACAGGATGTGTGAAGCAGAAGAATTGCTAGAGGACAGATAAACCCCTCACCACAAAGCATCAAACTTAGAAAAATAGGATTACAACATTTAATAGTACAGTCACATGCATGAGTTTGCTTCTATGCTACATTGTTGTACATGAAAACATAGTAACCTAAAGCAGAAATAATAAATGGCAAATTTACAGCATTTCTGTATGAATCCCCTTAACACACACATAAACACACACACACAAAAGAAAAATGTCCTGGTGTGTTGCGTTCAGGTTGAGCTGTTGGTGGTACGTGATTCACTACCCGTATTAGTAGTTGAGTTGTTAATCTTTCTCAGAGACATCACAAACCACAGGAAGATGAAGAAACCTGGGTCAAAGGAGATAAAGAGATAAGAACATTTTTAGAGAGAGTACAGGAAGAGAGGATCATGTCAATCATGCAAATGACACTGATAAACAATCTGACTGTTGCGTCACTGTTAATCAGTATACAAATAGTCAGGCCACTGTATATATAGGTATGTTATTTTATTTGTACACGCTTCATTTGTGTGTTTCTGTAAAGAGATTATATTGGTTAGATTAGACCTGTTATGTTCAGCTGTATGGACACACTATTGAGCGACATCATGTGTTAAATATATCACACCATTTGTGTCAGTGTCAAACCAAGTATTAAGGTCAACTTTGCATCTACAAAAACAACAGCTGTCACTGCAGTATGCAACCAATGGCCATGCAGTACTCCTGCACATTTACATACAGCGTTTTATACATTTGCCTATATAAGCCTTTCTGTCATATTTACAATAACACCCCCACGGAATAGAGCTAAACATGTGAAAGGAGGGTGAGCAGACCTTGTAGTGAGTTCAGGATGCAGAAGAGGTAGAGGCCAGCAGTGGCCAGATAGCCAAATGAGAAGAAGACCAGGCCCCACGTAATGCCGAGCAGAGTGATGACTCCCAGCAGGGTACAGATGTCTCGTTTGGCTCTGTCATGGTCACTCTGCCCAAACTGACATGCAAAATGTTGTGTAAAATGACACATTAGCAGGAAAGATAACCAGAAACAGGAAATTGAAATGCTGAACACCAAACCTGCTTTTGAGCACACTATCCTAGACTCTCAGGAGTCATAAAGTCATCACCATATTAAATGCTTTTATATTAGAGACTAGTTCACTTGTACAGAGTGTATGTGTAAGGGAGACAACTATGAAATGAATGATACCATATTAAACAAATATTAGAAAAGATTAAAGATTAAGGAAGACCGGGGATATTGAACAAATTCAATGAAAATATCAAAACAAACCATGTGTTTGTCAGTCTATTACTGTGATACTTTCGAACGTCCCTACCATGTCTGTGGCACTCAGCCCCAAGTCTATTGGTTCCTACTGAAGACATAAATGTTGACAAATAGGTCAAAAAGATATATTTTAAAAT